CAGGAACTTGGCCGGTGTTGGTGATTGGTATTGCCCCCCATCTGGAGGCAGCAAGACCATATGTTTTCTCCCCATAATCTCGCCGACAAGTGAATAATATAGTGAAAAAAAGTCTCAATCATAACTCATGCAAACACTTCACAAGTACAATATAACCCATCAGAAAATACCATTGACTCTACCTTTAAAATGCACATTGAATTTGACCACTTCTTACCACCTCCACTCTACCACTTGGCCTGAGCCACCTTTATCATTCACCACAGTGATGGCACAGCCTCCTTCCTGCTTCCACCCTTGCCTCCCTAGAGCCTACACACACACAACAAGTAGCTCTTTTAAAACATAAGTCAAATCTACTGCATCGACCTGTGATTAATGCCCATCTCACTCAGAATAAAACTCAAAGTCCTCACAATGGCTTATGGATCCTACATGATCTGGCCCCCATTAATTCTTTCTCCTCACACTCTCTTCTGTTCTCATTCTGTTCCAAGTACTCTGGCCTCCTTGACCTTCCTGGAGCACACCAGGCATCCTTCCTCCATAGGTTTTACAGTGCTTGGTCTCTGTGACTGGAATTGGAACCTCCCATTCCCATGTATCTGCTTGACTAATTTCCTCATCTCCTTCAAGTCTTTGCTCAAGTGTCATCTTCTCAATGAGGCCCAGATTGACCATTTTATTTACTATTGCAACTTGGCAACCCACCTCCATCTCTCTTAATGTGCTGAACTTTTTAAATTTTCCATATCAGTTATGACTTTCTAATATACTATGTAGTTTACTTATCTGTTAGATCTATTTGTCTATTGTCTATCTTCCCCTGCTGGAATGTAAGCTCCATGAGGGCAGGCTCTATGTTTTGCTCATTCATATCTGAAGCACTCAGAATAATGCCTATTACAGAGTAGAAACTCAACAAATATTCACTGAATCGAATGAAACAGGGACCAAAACTCAAACAGCACTCTCATCCCAACAACCTATAGGCTCAATAAAAATCCCAGTTTTTGATCCTTTTAGGCACTCTGATAAGCGTTCTGAATGAAAAGTTCACTCTGAAGTGGATATAACAATATTCTCTGAGCTGGATCAGCAAGTCATCGGGGCAGCTCTTGATAGTATGGGAATGCAAAATATAGGACTAAATGGATTTTGGGGCCTGAAGTTTAGGCTTCTGAGCTCGGCAGATGCCTACCTACCCAGGAGTTCTTGATGCCAATATTGTCGGTAAGAAGTTTTGACAATACATGCGATGATCAAGGCCCATCACCCTAGAAGCACTAGGTAACAGTGTGCCCTTCCCACAAGAACTCATTGTTTCAAAGAGTTTGCCTTTTGATTTTCTCTTTGGGATCGTAAAAGTGATAAATTTGTAAAAACAATACCAAACAAACCAAACAGAAAACAACCAACTACTTTACAAAGAGTAAGTTATAAAAGAAATGCTCACCTTTATGTTCAAGTTCAAATTTATAACAAGATGGAAAACCAGGATAGGATGCTTACGTAGTAGGGGGAAGATACTAGTCAGATTGTCCAACTGAGATTTGATTTATTGTTTTCCATTCAAGGACCCAAAATGATGTCTTAACAAAGGTAAAATAAGCCATTGTTCATTTTGATGACATGGGGGTAATTCACCAAAGTAAGTTAGTTTATTAATAATAACATTAGTTTTAAGGAGGAACACTCTCAATGAGCAAATAAAAAGCAAGATATGAATATTTTTGTTGCATGTATAGGGCACAACTAGAATACTTCATCAGATGCTCTTGGCCTCATATTTCTCCATATCTCTGAACTACTTGCCCTGCCTCAACAGCCTCCACGTAACTGATCCAGTTCGTGCAAGCCTCCTGCAGCAGATGAGCCACAAGCTTAATCCCACGGCAGACAGGCTTCACTTAGGGAAGCAGAATCAATATGAGTATGTTGAATAAGGAATTTATTATGGGAATTAGATCTTCACATTTGTTGGAGGAGCTGGGGAAGTAAGAGTCTGAAAAAGGGTTGTCGAAGGATCAGAGGCCAGCCCTGACCCAAAGGAGTCCAAGCTTGCAGGAAAATTTAGAAGCTAGGCACAATCCAGCTGCTGTAGTGGGACTGCAAGGAGGGCTTGTGTAGAAGTCTACAGAAGATCATGGACTCCTCATTACCACCGACTCTGTAAGTCTGTGAAGAGTCTGATAGCCAGACTGTGGCTACAGTTATTTGGCAGAGAACAAACAAGAACCCTCTTGCATCTGGATATTTTTCTCTTGCCACTCTAATGTGGCTTCACTTTCGTTGAAATGACACTCAAATCTCAGGCAACTCCAGTTTGTTTATCTGGACAAATATAGACATGTAAGCATATAGAAAAGGGGATTCTGAGAAACAGTTTCCAGCAAAAACAAATTGCCTATAAAGCAATCCAGCACAAATACCTACCATGACTGCCATGTGGGATTTGTTTCTCTAGTTGCCAAAGGGATCAGATCACTCAACCTGGAAGCTGGAGGAGTTCCCACTAGTGGGGTGAATTTTGACCAGTGAGAGATAAGAGATGGAAGGGAGCCCGCAGGTAGATATCTTCTTTGGTCCTTGCTCTAATAGACTGTTCTTGGGCCCAGTTTTCTACATGGCCTGCTCACAAACACTTCACATGACCAAGCAACTGACTGTGTCTTTTCAAGTTCATGAAGCATAGACCAGGTTGGTAACATTACAGCATGTACTTGCTTCCCATTCTTCCCTGTCACAAGTCTTCCTGTCCTCTTTTCCACACTCTTGATACTCTGGGATTGCATCTTTCAGTGAAGTATTTGCATTTCAGCCTTCCTAAGAAACCCCAGCTAAAATTGTACCCATAGAAAAATTGCAATGACGTGTGAGTATTGTATGAAAAGAATTGATGGGGACTATAGTGTGAAGCTCAGTTCATTTGCCTGTTATGAAATTATAGCACTAATAGTATTTTAAGAATATCATTATCTTCCATCACTGAAAAAGTTAACAAACAAGTATTTCCCTGAGACAAATAAAAGGAATGAATCAGGAAGCAGAGATCCTTTTAGCCAACTTATGACTTGTGACCTAAACTCTCAGCAAGAATATACACTGAATGAAAACATTGCTCTTTATCAACTTTTGAGCAATAACCCTGCCATAGCTCAAAAGGCAGTGAAAAGCTTGTTACCCATATTTACATATCTATGCCAGTTTAGGCTTTCAAAATATTGTGGTGCACAGAGTGGAGAAATTGCCTTAATATGCAGTGTCAGCTCTCTTTAATCCATTTCCACAAATGGATGAGTGTAGTGCCATCACACCTGATTTGATCATTAATCGATGAATGAGACGGGTAGTAGACTTTTTACTTGACATTTAAAACCTATTTTTAAAATAAACACAGAGATACTGTGGAATAGAGTGAAAAGTGTGCATGCATCATTAAGATAACACAAGAAAATTGGGTCGTGATAGTTTCTTTCCCTTCCCCAATAGTTAATGGTTCTCTGATATTAGTTTCAGTGGGAAAAAAAGTTGAGAAGTACTTCTTTAGGTTGAAGACTGTGCGCGCGCTCTCTCATCTCTTTTCACGCTTTTGTATTTTCTTCTATCTGGAGTTTGGCTTTTTTACCTCCTTTCTTTTTAGAGAGAGTAGAGTTTCTGTCAATGGAACCTAGATGGAAGGCGTAAGATAGGTGGCGATGATCAAGGGCAGGTCAGCGCCGCGGGCATTTGCGTGAGGAGACCGCCCTCACAGGGAAGGAGTTAAGGTCAACCCGGAACGTGTCACGGGCCGGCATCTATTATTTTACGACAGGACAATATGAGGACGTTGCTAGTTAGGGCGGAAGAAGCTAATTCAAAAGATGGGATTGGAAATTCAAGAGAAATTGCTTGTGAAAAAAAAAAGTGCATGTAATTGACCATGAGTCATAGCGGATCAGGATTTTATCAGCACAGAGAACAGTGAGATGCCATCACGATTGCCTCAATGGGTAGCGGTAACTTCAATGTTTGAAGCCACCCCACCCTCCTTCCCAACTCATCCAACTCCGACCCCCTAAAGAGCCCACAAAGCACGCCTACGTTGTTTCTGTAATAGTTCCTGTTACAGTCAGTGTTCTCTAGATTTCTTTTCCCCTGCAGATGGTGATGATAGAAAGGTCTTGAGATACTTCTGACATTTCTGAGTCATCCATTTACAGGGAAAAAAAGTGTGCAAATATTTAAATTACCCCGTCTTTCCCAGCAAATTTGCCTTTCGATTAATCTGCCCTGGGGCATAGGCTGGGAAAGATTTAAGGGGTGAACGAGTTGAAGGAGTGGGAAGGGTTGTAGTGAGGTGGGGCGTTAAATAACTGATCCTTTCTTTCAAGGATCCCAGGTGTTTCTCTGGGCCTGGGAAGTTTTTGCTCCAGAGTGTCAGGGACTGCGGGGAGCAGACAAACAGTCCAGTAGCTTTACAGATCAGCCTGAATGACAGCCTGAGGCAAGGGCTTGGCCAGAGCCTGCAGGGAGGCCGCTAGGCTGCTGTTCCCTTAAAAATCCCTCTCCCACGGTACTTGAGCGACTGCACTCCAGGCCGCGAGCGCTGGGGACATTCCGAGCCACCCCTTGCGAAGCAGAGGTGGGGATGGGCCCACCTCCGCTGGTCTGGGTGGACGCGGTCGATTCCAAGGGGCTTAGGCCGGGGGATGTCCACCCAGGATCTCCACGGCGGTGATTTCTGAACAACGGGGGTTCCCACGGGGGCGGTCCAGGGGTGAGACCAGGCACAGGGACGTTGCGCATCGCAGGCTCAGCGCCCGAGGCGCGGCTCTCCGGGTGGCGCAGTGAGGGGCGCCCCGCTGGGCGGGCGCGCAGCGGGAGTACTGTAGCCCAGCCGCGGCCACCCCCCCAAGGCCAGCCAGCCAGCCGGGGGCGGGGAGCCCGGAGCACCGCCCCGCCTTCGCGCCCCGCCCGTGGGAGAGGAGGGGCTGCGGCGCGGCAGACCACTGGAGGCGCAGCACCGCCGCCACCGCCGTTCTAGGTACTGGAGACCTCGGCTGCGCGCAGGCGGCGCCCGCGCCTCCGCTCCCCAGCCAGCCCGCGCGCCCGTCCGCCCGCCCGGCAATCTCCCGCCTCCTGCTGCTGCTGCCGCCGCAGAATCGGCGGCACCGCCTCTCGCCTTCCAGGTAAGTGTCCTAGCTGCAGAGGGGACCCCTGGAGCGAACACGACGGTGCCTGCACCGCGGCCCGGGGGCATTGTGCACGTCCGGATGGATGGTCGAGGACCCTGAGGGACACGCGGTGGGCAGCCGGGCTTTGGGCCCCTAAGGCATCGTAGCCCTCGGGGGCTTCCCTGGCCGGATTACTCCAGAGGCTGGCTGGCTGGGTGGCGGTGCTAGTCAAGCCCCGCAGCCTAGGTGGGAGGGGGCGTCTGGGTCATGGTCCCCGCTCGCCGCCCTCTCCCCACGTTTTTGGGTGAATTCCGGCCATCTGGCTCTCGCGCCCTCAAAGCCCCGCGCTACCCGGCGCTCCGGCTCCCTCCGGCTGCTGGGTATAAAGCTGGGGAAGGGAGAGGGACTGATGTAATTGTCAGCGGAGAACCGAACCCGCGCGGTGAGAGCGCCCGCGCCAGCTCTAGCTAACGCCTAC